TGTTGACAGGCAAACATTGAATGGTTCTGCTTTATGGTGCATAGGCTGCCTTGACAGTGCATGCTTGCTGCAGTTGAAATACTCCTGGGGTATGCTCTTAAGCTGGGGATTTCCATCTTTGTGAATGGCATTCCGCTACATGTCAGTGCACCATCAAACATTTGCTGAATTTTTGCCTCAACATGCCTGCGAAGCAGTCACATGAGCGAGTGTTTCCTGGAGGGTTCATGTGCAAGTGATGCAGACTGTTCTTTGCAATATGCACCTGACTTTACCTGAGTGGCACCAAAGTACATGAAGTGTGGCAGGAGGGAGACTAGGTGTGCTTGGAGACAGCCAGCTGGATTTTGGGAGCAGGCAACACCAGCAATGTCAAAAGCAAAGCTGCATGAATTTGCCAATAACTACTTCACAGCAGAATCATGCCTTTGTCCCATTTTTATGTTTTTATCTCAACTCTACTTATCTGTTGACTTCACATTTGGTGTATATTCATGTGTTTGAATGTTTGTAAATTTTAGGTGCTTTCACTCTGTATGACATAGGTCCAAGAAAAGGCATGTTGGTTTGGGTCATTCATTCACTGTTGATGGACTTGCAATGTAAACTAAATAGTTCTTAAATCAGCAACCCAGGTGGTGATCATTCTGTGGTAGTTGTTTGTGAACCTTAGCCCCTGCTTGCTTGTACTTGTATACATATAGCATACACTGAGTACAGCTTCATCATACAAGGGTCATTTGGTAGTCTGGGCTTGAACAATGTGGGGCAGATCCAAAGATAAGGACAAGCCTTGTCTGGAAAGTGAGGGAACAGCATCATCTGGGGGGACTCAGTTGCCTCAGGGTGTCATTACTGTACTACAGATATTGGCTGAGTGACATCATCATTGTATTCCGTCGCTGATCCTTGGTGGAGTGGTCTGCCATTAAAAGTCCTTCACAAGAGTCAAATCAGATTTTACTAGCAGCCACCATTAGAAATATATCATATATCAGGAGCCAGCTGGATATCTGGAGCCAGTACTGTTTAAGATAGTCCCATAAAGCCCTTTTTACCACATTGATTGAGTGATTCACATGAATGGTTTTCAATTGAGTACCTGCTAAGCAAACCCTGTGTGTACTCTGAACACACCACCCAGGCTGTGCCATCTAGTTCAATGGATAATTTTGCCTGCACCCTTTCGCCGGACATTGCTGAGGAGGGTGTCACGTGCTGCACAATGCTGTAGCACCCTTGGCCTGAGGCCTGGTCACCCTCTTTGGTCAGCTGTCAGCTGAATGTCAGTTGCCTGCATTTCATTTGGGCCAAACAATGCACACTCCTTTGGACTTGCCTAGCACCACGGGGCTGCTAGTTCAGCATCTTCTTGTGTTGCATGGAGATGGTGCCTGACTTCACATGATGTTCCCTTTGACTGGAATGCCCTCCTGCGTGACACGTTGACCCAGCCACCGCTGTGCGACTCAGACCCAAGCCAGGCTCACACTGCATCTGCGCCATGTATGGCATACCTCATGCTGGGACATCCTGCATGACAGGGACAATGGAATTTTCCCCAAGCTAGGTGGGAGCAGAGGCTGCTGCAGTACACATTTGGTAATTTTGCTCATCTCTTTCTAGCCCATGGCATAGGGTCAGTTTAATATCCTAAGAAAGTGAGCGTTAGTTAGCTCCCCTGGTGCCCTAGTTCCCATGCAGTCCCACCTGAAAAGGCAGAAACAAATGAAGTTCAGTGAGGCTGGGTTCCAGCAGAAAAAGTCGTTCTATTTCCTGAAAGCTGACAAGTAAGCTAAGCTGGCGGACACACATGTCACTGAACCTTAAAATGTCTAATTTTCACTCCTAATGCTTCTTCGCTGTTTGTTCTCTAGTCACAAGTTATCACCATAGCAACGGCCTGAGAGCTGTAACGTGCTCTGGTTCGCCACAGGACAATGGCAGCCCGAATTGTTCGCGATGCCTTCCCACACATGGACGAAGATCTGTTCCAGTATGTGGAAGGTACGTTTCCTCGCCGTGCACGACCTTGTATGCGTGCAGCAGTGTCCAAACACAATCCATGTGCGTAGTATTGGGCAGCGAAGGTCGCTTCTTACCGAATAAACATTGCTTTCGGCGGGCCTGTTGTACCGGAAACGGTCTCGTCCTGCACCGCCAGGCTTCACAAACGGGAGATCCAGGAGCCACGCTGTCTCCTCTCATCCCTCGCCGGGATCTTGTGCGGCCCTCCTGATGTCATAATGACAGTACATATCTAACCAGGTGGTGTTCTGGTAATTGTTCGCCCCTCCCAGGGTGACCAGCTTGAACCCCTAGACCTCCCTACGTCCCCGGACATAAGGATATCTTGGTGTGTGCCCTCCCCCCTCGCAGCCGCGATATCTGGGCTCAGATTTTGGCTCTGAGGATGCGCAAATTCTTGATATGCCTGTGTTTTGAGGAATATGTGATGCGATGTGCATGACAGGTACTTAAGCTTTTTTCGTATTCATTCTGTAAATAAGGCGGGTACTCGTGACAATTATTCGAATGATTCCTAGAACAGACATTCAGTTTTCTTGATTTGGGTTTGTTAGCTGGCTTGATCCTTTGCCCCGCCTCCTCAACCGCATTCTTAAAAAAAACATCAGCAAGGAAGCAAACGAAAATGCGTTTGTTACAGGCGCATGGTGTTAACGATGACCCGTTGATTTCACTCGTGCTTCCATCTAAGACCTTCACTTTCAAAGGACCCACTGATATGTAACTCCAGGAATCAATTCTGACAACCGGATTCAACCATAGCTTCCGTTGCCCTTTTCTTCCGGGCTAAGTCGCGGTCTGTTATATGCGTAGGGACGATCCTAGTTCAGATAAGATATCAAACCGCTTTAGGTCAAAGGTCGTTGGTGGCGCGTGTTGTCTTTGCTGCATCGAAAATGCCCTGAATGAGAGAATGTGCCTTGCTTGGTGGGTTTGGGAGTTTGGAGAGATTTGCTATCACATCGGAAATTTTCCAGTCGCATCATGAGTCAAATTTCAACTTGCGTATTGTTTAGTTCTAAATGTTTTCACGCTGCATCCCGATTCACTAATCTTTGAATCACTGGCGTGAGTGCGAACATGTGAGTGACTCATGTTGTCGTGGTGTTTCCAGCGCCGATTATGAGTAGTCTAATTCACTACCAAATGCAGTTATGGTTTCTTAACTAGCGTATAACTTCGGTCAACGTGTCCCTTAATTAGTCATACCGCATGCATCTAGCCAGGACAAATCGCCGATCTGACCTTGGCTGTGATGTGTGTTTCCGCGAGCAGCTACGGCGGATCCGTGGCGGATATCATAAGTGAGCGTACTGCCAGCCATGAGCCCTTCATTAGCTGTGGGTTTGTCCTCACATTACATGCTTATGTTATGCTGCATGGCCTGAGCACGATAAGAGGTCATAATGCAAACTTCGGGACCGCTGCGCCACCGGTCGAGTTGATCCATTTCCCCGATCGCATCCAGGTTAGGATTCGCCTATTATCCACATTTCCACCTGGCCCGTGTCTGCCGTTACTCCCGATTTGATGTATTTTCCTGCCGCATTCAGGTGAATACGTACCTTTCAAAATGATTGTTTAATTTGTGTGATGGTCTTCGATGGTGGTCGAAAGTATGCATGCCGATATCTCTGGAACTGTCGTCACGTCACCGAGGTGTCCGGACAAAAATCGACTCAATTTGTCGAGCGCCTGTTTGTCGACTGGTATATGACGACTTCCATGTCAGCGACATGGAAGAATGCCGACGTGCCGAAATGGGAAGCTCCTTAATGACGGCTAGCAACGTGGCGACATGTCAAACAGCTGACATGCCGAAATGACGAACGCTAAATGGCAAAGTTGGCAAAAAGCACGCCGCCGTGCCGTGGCTGGATTGCATCCGAAGCTGGGGGTAGATTGCATTCCCCGAGCCGGAATTTCCCGCCGCCTTGCGCCTCCACATCTGGTGGAGGACCTAGGCCCCGGGTTGTCAGGTATGGCTGTACCTAGCGCCGGCTGACCACGGATCCGTACTTACCGACTGGTTCGCGCCAGCGGCCGCCGCAGCGGCTGAAGCGGCGCTCGTGATGAGATGGCGGCGTATTCCGCCGTATATAAGCGCGGATGGCGTGACAGTAGGCACCACGCTTCTGCCGGTGTCATGTCGCTACTGCGGGGCTTCTTCTGCTGACGGTCGCCTTGAGTCCGGCCCTGCTTGATGCGTTCGAACAACCCTCCCTGAGCTTTCAACAGGTAGACGATGGCAGGCCCGTTCCCATTTCCCAAGGTGACGGGTGTCCCCTAGCGAGCGGCAGACCAAGTGGACGTTCATCGCGCTACTGGGGGCCCGCCAGCCGGACGGCTCGGTCCGCTGGTTGTGCGGCGGCTCACTGCTCAGCTCGCGCCACGTGCTGACGGCGGCCCACTGTCTAGCCAGAGTGGCGCCCAGTCAGCTGGTGGTGCGGCTCGGTGAGACCTGGCTCGGCACGACCACCGACGGCCAGCACGTCGATCGGGACGTGCTGCGCGTCGTCGTGCACCCGGAACATGTTGGCTTCAAGAACGACCTGGCCATGCTGACGCTGTCGGCGGCCGTGAGGCAGCAGCCGGCACAGCTGGGTCGGTGCGGCCGGCCAGCGCGCCACCGTCGCCGGCTGGGGCGTGACGAGGTTTGCCGGACGCCCGTCCTCCGTGCTGCTGGAGGCGGACGTGACAGTGACGGGATCCGACCGATGTGAGCGCCTGCACCTGGACGGCGCCGCGCCAACTCGCTCGTGCGCCAGCTGTTCCCGGGCGGCTTCGTGGGCCGTATGCTGTGTGCAGAGCCGACGTGACCGGCGTGGCCGGGACGCGTGTCGCGCCGACTCCGGCGAGTCCGCTGGCCGTCGGCCCCCGCCGGCCGGCAGCGGCTGGTGGCCGTGGTGTCGAGTGGCCGCGGGCTGCGGCGACGCGGGCTTGCCCAGACGTCTACACCGGCCTCAGCAAGTATGTGGACTGTATGTGGCGGCAGCTGAACCACACACCTGTTTAACATGAAAACGCCTTGGACGTGGCTCAACCTTTTGACACCAGGGTTTTTTTCAGTAGAGAGCTTGACCGTGGTGTTGAGCTGGGAAGGTTGGCTTCGAGTGTTATCGGCAGGGGACTTGATCAGTAGACTCGCAGAGATTGTCGTTGTGGTAGCGGAAGAATGGTTTCAAGCCCATGTCACATGGGCCGTGTCAAGATGCTGCTAATCTTTGAACTACAACTGTGACTCATGTTGAGGAAACTTTGGGGTAGAAATTCGCTGTTGTAGCTCCTGGCTGCAGTGGTGTTAGAATGTTAGGTTGGAAATATATGTTTTCCCAATACTTTTGTGGTCATTGCCGAGTTGTCCTGGTATGTCTACGTCCTGATGTCTCAAGAATCCTGGAAAATGCTATGCTTGGAGTTTTGAAAGAAAAGTATTTTGTTGGCTGACCAGTCGTGATGATTTTGGGCACTACTTTTTCGATAACTTCCATGCGAAAAATGTGTTTGCCAATATCCCGCCGTATGCAAGTGGCACCATTTACGGGCGGTAACATTTGGCACGCATTTCCTTACCTTTTTAGACACGCGTTTACACGCTCCACATTTATTCGACTATTTCCGCGATGCAACATTCTCACACTTTATGTGCGAGCTGTAACCAGAGTACTTGGCACGTTGCATCAAGTCTTCAAGCAAAATAATGGACATGGCCAGTCAAAGTGTACAAGCTAAAATGACTGCCGACAGCACGGGACGGGGAGGGGGTCACGGGGTCGTCCGATGCCACGGCTGTGGGTAAATGAGCCGCGACCTGGCGGCGGAGTGGAACTGACCTCTGGCACGCCCCTCGCCGGCAGGGGTGCTCGACTCGGGCGAGGAGTTTGAGTCCGGCGATGACGTGTACGAGGCGATCGGCGGCATCGTAGAGCAGGTGGCCGGCGACGACAGCGAGCACGTGGTTCGGTCAGTGTTGTGACCTGTCCTGACCTGCCGTCGGTACACCGATCTGTCCTGACCTGACGTCGGTACACCGATCTGTCCTGACCTGACGTCGGTACACCGATCTGTCCTAACCTGACGTCGGTACACCGATCTGTCCTAACTGACGTCGGTGCACGATCTGTCCTGACGTGCCGTCGGTACACCGATCTGTCCTGACCTGACGTCGGTGCACCGCTCTGTCCTGACGTGCCGTCGTGCACCGCTCTGTCCTGACCTGACGTCGGTACCGCTCTGTCTGACCTGACGCCGGTGCACCGCTCTGTCCTGACCTGACGTCGGTACACCGCTCTGTCCTGACCTGACGTCGGTACACCGCTCTGTCCTAACCTGACGTCGGTGCACCGATCTGTCCTGACGTGCCGTCGTTGCACCGATCTGTCCTGACCTGACGTCGGTACACCGCTCTGTCTGACCTGACGTCGGTGCACCGCTCTTTCTGACCTGCCGTCGGTGCACCGCTCTGTCCTGACCTGACGGCGCACCGCTCTGTCCTGACCTGACGTTGGTACACCGCTCTGTCCTGACCTGCCGCCGGTGCACCGTTCTGTCCTGACCTGACATCGATACACCGCTCTGTTCTGACCTGACGTCGATACACCGCTCTGTCGTGACCTGACGTCGATACACCGTTCTATCCTGACCTAACTTCTGGTCCGTCGTGCTCTGTTCTCATGTTGCCCTGGTACGGATTTGCTTTACCGACTTGCTTATGCGGTCCGCTTGCGCCTACTAAGGCGTGCTCTCTGTCATCAAATCTCATATGTTGAATTGACAAACGTAATCAGTACGTCTCAATTCCGACCATGCGTGACAACGCCAGTGTCCACCAGCGGTGAAACGCTTAGTGGGTGGCGAGGAGGCGAAGGAATTGGTGGAGGCTATGCTAAACACCACATTCCAGCGGGGACTGCGGTCTCGACGTCGACCTGTGCGCGAGGTCTTTCTCCGCCGTTGTTCTGTGCAGGGTACAGTGGCCTTGAGCGTGACCTGTCGGTGACCTGACCGTAACCCTGACCGGGGTGGTGACTCGGCAGCCTGCTTTGTGACCGGGTGATGGCGCAGCTGCGAGTTAGTGCTCCGGACGGCCACCAGGTGGCCAACGGCGGCCGGAAGCGACTGGAGGGCGCCCGTGCACCTGGGTTCGCTGGCCGGAGACGACACTGGTCCAGGAGATGCCCAGCATCTGGCTGGCGCAGAAGGAGGTCGTCTCGGTCAGTCCCGCTCAGGGGGTGTGGGAATTGGATTGAACGGGATTGGGTTGAATGATGGAATAGAATGGAATGGGATGAGATGTTGATGTGGTGTGATTGATGTGATGTGATGTTATTTGATAAGATGAGATGAGATGAGATGAGATGGGACGCGATGGGATGGGCAATTGACTTGAATTGAATGAGACGGGGCCGGGGTACGGTAGTGGAACGATGGGAGCTAGGCCCGGATCTTTTGCGGCTCCCTTCCTTGACCACTCAGCTGCTGTCCTGGCTGTGAAAGCACATGTGCGGCACCTCAGCTCCATTGGCAGATGTAGTGAGACTGAGTTCTGACCTAAAATGCTTGAGGTAATCACGGCTGATCATCAGGACCGGCCTTTTTCTGCATGGCTGATGTGTCAGAAGAGACCAGACTTGTTTGGTGTTGTGGCCATCAGTATCCAGAAGGATTCGGTGGTAGCTTGCAATGACCGCAAGAGGAGAGCAGAAAACCCAAACCCCATATAAAGCCATCTGTTTTCGTGCATGGTCACAGCGTCAATGTTAAACTTCCAGGAAGTGTGTCCAGTACCTTTGACCCCTGTCCGTACATCTACGCCAGGCTTAGATCTTAGCGAAAACGGTGTAGTATCGTGCTAAGGTCTCGGCAACGTGAACACGATGGCGAACTACCTCACCCTCCCTCTCACTGGCGAGTGCTCACTTCATCACCCCTCACTCTCACCGATGAGTGCTCAACTCACCACCCTCTCTCGCCGGCAAGTGCTCACATCACAACCTCCCTCTCACCGGCGAGTGCTCACATCACCCCTCTCTCTCACCGGCGAGTGCTCACCTCACACCTGCCTCTCACCGGCGAGTGGTCACCTCACAACCCCCATCTCACAGGCGAGTGCTTCCCTAACCCCCCCTTTCACAGGCGAGTATTCATCTCACACCTCCCTCTCACAAGTGAGTTCACCTCACACATCCCCTCACCGGCGAGTGCTTGCCTCACACATCCCTCTCACCGGCGAGTGTTTCGTCTCACACCTCCGTTCACACCGGCGAGTGCTCACCTCACACCCTCATCTCACCGACGAGTGTTCACTTCACAACCTCTCCTCTCATCGCGAGTGTTCACCTCACACCTCTGTCTCACCGGCAAGCGTTCACCTCATACCTTCCTCTCACCGGCGAGTGCTCACCTCACACCTTCCTCTCACCGACGAGTGCTCACGTCACACCTTCATCTCACCGACGAGTGCTCACCTCACCGGTAAGTGCTCACCCCACCCTTTCCTCTCACAGGCGAGTATTCAACTCATACCTCCCTCTCACAGTCGAGTCTTCACACCCATACATCCCTCTCACCGGCGAGTGTTCACCTCACACCTCCGTCTCACCGCCGAGTGCTCGTCTCAACCCCTCCGTCTCACCGGCGAGTGCTCACCTCACATCTCCCTCTCAATCGACGAGTGCTCACTTCACACCTCTCTCTCTCATCGACTAGTGCTCACCTCACCCCCTCCGCTCTGCCATCCGCCGCTAGCGCGTGGACACCAAGAAGCTGGAGAAGGCTGAGGAGAAGATCAAGAAGAAGCTGGAGAAGCAGAGCGCGGCACCGGCGCCAGCGGCAGGCCAGCCTGGCCGAGAAGACGGGCCAGCGCCTCGCAGGTCATCTCCAAACGCGACGTGCGCGCAGAAGCCCGCGGCGCCAACATGTGCAAGGACATTCGCATCGAGAACTTCGACATTACCATCGGAGACAAGTGAGTGCGGTGGAGTAGAGTGGGGGCGGGGGGGGGGGGGGGGCAAAGCACGCACATGCGACGTGCGCGAAGGGCGGTGCGTGAGTGGGAAAGATGTTGGTGACTATAGTGTGTTGCCTGCCCAGCATTCCTGTGGAGCATGCTGATATCAGTGTCTATTCTGAACCCTCTGCGCCATGTCCGCGGAAGAGGGATGCCGGTGTCAGCGTGTCCTGCACCGTCCATCACGTCCTCGCGTGGTGTTGTTGACGAAGCGTGCGCCGTCTGCCCTGTCCCTGCAGGAGGCCGAGGTCAGACGAGGTCAGGGTGTGCACCCACCACATCCCCACTGGGTGCACCTGATGTCAGTGTGCCCCTGACCCGTGCCGCCGTGTCTCGGCAGGGTGCTGATGACCGGGGCGGACATAACGCTGGTGTACGGCCGGCGGTACGGCTATGTGGGCAGGAACGGCCTCGGCAAGACCACCATGCTGCGAATGATTTCCAGGTGGGTGAAGCCCGCGGCTGCTTCACCACCACCAACACGCCAGCTGCTAAACGGAAAACTACGCCATGCAATGAGTGTAAAAAGAACTTCACCTTGCGCACGATCGAAAGATCGAATCACCTCCGGTGCGACAACGCGCACGTGATGCCCACTCGTCCAAGGCCTTCGCTTCGGTGTGTTTTGTCCGTTACCTCCGTCTCAAGAGGCTCATTGTCTGTATGTGAAGCGAGTTACGCGAAGTGATGACGTCATTTTTTAGAGGGAAATATGAAGCGTTTGACGTATTCATGGAGTAAGTGCGCTTGAAAACGTGTCGGACTCAATTCGTACCTTGGCATTTTGCCGACGTCTACCCGTCAGCTGGCGACAGAGATGCGATGTTGGTGTCATCATCTAAATCACGCGAATGCCGTAAACAAATCATCAAACTGTCGTGAGAGCCTGTCATGCACATGTTCATTCGTAAATCACCGACCCGTTACTCCATCGTCCACTCGTTCTTGCTTGACGCATTGCTGGCGCTCGGTTTCGTAGCCGAACAGACCTTGGTCTGGCCGCCTGATGATACAAACTGCGGGGCACCACCGGCGCCTGTCGGCGGCCCGCCGCCGCCTCTCACGGCCGGCGGCGCTGTTCCAGCGGCCAGCTGGTGATCCCCTCGCACGTGAGCGTGCTGCACGTGGAGCAGGAGGTCACCGGCGACGAGACGGAGGCGCTGCAGTCGGTGCTGGAGTGCGACACGGCGCGGGAGGAGCTGCTGGCGCGGGAGCGCCACCTCACCGCGCGCATCAACGACGGGTGAGCGCTCGGACGGCGGCGAGAGTGGATGCCGGCGTTGCTGAAGATGTTGTTACTGAGCGGCCTCGGCGCCGGCCCGGGCCGACACGGTCGGTCGCTGTTTGGACGGGGCTATATGCTTGCAGCAGTGAGCATAGCGCCAGAGAGTTTCAGGGACAGGCAGTGCATTTTTAAAACTTGTTCTAATCGCATTTTCAGGACTTCCACATGTGGGCTGTTTGTTGACTACACAACATTGTAACATTGTTGGTACCATTTATGGTAGCAATCTGATGTTAAAATTCACCTCCGTTTTCGTGATAAAGATAAGAAAATCGTGTTACCCAAGGGTATGCTATCGTGTTGCATAACATGATGACATAAAGTTTGCACAGTGTAAGAAACGTCAAGCGCAGGGTATCGAAATTGGGTCATAATCTTTTCAACCTGGAGAAGCAACGGCCCGAGGCCAACGCCGTTGGACGAACGAGGGCGAACAGTCGCGAACTTCATGGACCGATCCGAATCGAACTGTAGCCGTGGATCAATATCTAGCCATGGACCGAACACCAGCTATGTACCGACCTCCAGCCATCGGCCGACCTCCAGCCATGGACCGACGTTCAGCCATAGACTGGACGCCAGCCATGGATCAAACTCCAGCCATCGACCGAACTCCAGCCATGGACCGAATTCAGTCATGGACCGAATCCAGCCATGGATCGAACCACAGCCATGGAGCCCAGCCAGCCATGGTCAGCGGTTCATGACTCCCGGAGTCCGGTCTGGGACGCCCGGGGGAGAGATTCCGACGGAATGGTGCGGGCTCAGACCACGCTGGGCTGAGACATGAAGATGATTTCTGGACAGACTGGAGCGCATCTGGCGTTGAACAACCCTCTCCACGATAGTAGCAACGACTGGGAGGATTTACACGGGACGGTGACCTCCCCCTCCCCCTCCCCCCTTCCCCTCACCCCCCTCCCCCCCCCCCCCCCGACTCCGGCGGTGGTCACTTGGTGAGGTGAGGTCAATCGGCACGCGAGAATGCGGCGGTAGCTCCCCGGCCGATGACGCCACAATGGAAATACGTCACCTACAAGACGCTTCCCGGTTTGTCAGCAAACACCGCGCCTGCGGACGTGTGGGCAATGCTACAAAACGCCAGTAGACTGCGGTGGTCTTGCGGCTAGCGTAGTCACAAGACCAGATTGATAGAATGACCGCAAGATGGGCCATCACTAACTAGCCGTAACGACTGTTGAACGGCAGGGAAAACGCTGCCCTCTTCTGTGAAGAACGGGCGTCAGCTTACTCGTTGCAGTTGGTCATGTTGTGTGTATGTTATTGGGCGTTAGTGGAAGGACCAATGGACCCAATACAGTTATCTGTTGCGTATTCCGGACACCAGTATGTCCGTTTATTAGAACATGGTGGTTCGTACTGTGGCGTATTTCCGACGTGTTGATCGCTCCCCCTCGTCTCCGGACACCAGGATGCCGTGCTGTGGTGACCCTCCCCTCCCGTCTCCAGCCACCAGGACGCCGTGCCGTGGTGACCCTCCCCTCCCGTCTCCAGCCACCAGGACGCCGTGCCGTGGTGACCCTCCCCTCCCGTCTCCAGCCACCAGGACGCCGTGCCGTGGTGACCCTCCCCTCCCGTCTCCAGCCACCAGGATGCCGTGCCGTGGTGACCCTCATCTCCCGTCTCCAGCCACCAGGACGCCAACCTCTCGGAGCAGCTGTCGGAGGTGTACGCGCGCCTGCAGGCCTCGGACGCGGACCGGGCGCCGGCGCGCGCAGCGGTTATCCTGCGTGGTCTCGGCTTCAGCCCCGAGATGCAGAAGCGGCCCACCCGCGAGTTCTCCGGCGGCTGGCGGATGCGGCTGGCGCTCGCCCGCGCCCTCTTCTCACAGTGAGCTCGCAGGCCTCTTCTCACAGTGAGCTCGCAGGCCTCTTCTCACAGTCAGCTCGCAGGCCTCTTCTCACAGTGAGCTCGCAGGCCTCTTCTCACAGTGAGCTCGCAGGGCCTCTTCTCACAGTCAGCTCGCAGGCCTCTTCTCACAGTCAGCTCGCAGGCCTCTTCTCACAGTGAGCTCACAGGCCTCTTCTCACAATCACCTTGCAGGCCTTCTCACAGTCAGCTTGCAGGACTTCTCACAGTCAGCTCGCAGGACTTCTCACAGTCAGCTCGCAGGCCTTCCAGTCAGCTCGCAGGACTTCTCACAGTCAGCTCGCAGGCCTTCTCACAGTCAGCTCGCAGGCTTTCTCACAGTCGGCTCGCAGGCTTTCTCACAGTCAGCTCACAGGACTTCTCACAGTCATCTCGCAGGCCGTCTCACAGGTCAGCTCGCAAGCCTTCTCACAGTGAGATCTCAGGCCCCCTTCTCATGAGCTCGCAGGCCCCTTCCCACAATCAGCTCGCAGGCCTTCTCACAGTCAGCTCGGAGGCTTTCTCACAGCGAGATCTCGGGCCACTTCTCGTAGTGAGCTCGCAGGCCTATTCTCAAAGTGAGTTCGCCAGCTGTGCGTGTCGCAGCTGGCCTCTTGTGAAGCGGTGCGAGGCTGATCTCATGGCTGCTAGTCAATGGGAAGTGTGCGCGCTCTCGTCTGGCGGTACCGCCACGCCCCCAAGCGTGTGCTTTGTGGTCCATGACGACACTGTGTGAGACCTGAGAACGTTCGTGGTCACTCACCGCTCCTGCGGGCGGTAGCGCACAGCCTCACCGCGGCACCAGCGATGGCGAGCTTGCCTTACATACCGCGATAGACCTGGCTCGTCGCTGACACTGTCAGTGTGGCACTGGGCGCCCTGCTGACACACGTCAGACCACTGCGAGCGGCCGCTGACGGGGGCGCCCGCGCCTGCCAGGCCGGACCTTCTGCTGCTGGACGAACCGACGAACATGTTGGACATGAAGGCCATCATCTGGCTGGAGGACTACCTGCAGACGTGGCCGTCGACGCTGCTGGTGGTGTCGCACGACCGCCAGTTCCTCGAGGTGGTGCCCACCGACATTCTCTTCCTGCACAACCAGAAGATCGACTGCTACAAGTGAGGACGGCCGCCGCGTCGCCACCCACGCCCGGCCTCTGGGCGTGGTCTTTTGGTGTCGTCTGTGACGGCGCTCGGACCCAGGTGGCGTAAGCGGGAGTTTCGAGGCACTGTTCAGGAGACGTTCTGGCTTGTTGTATTAGCAGCACACGTCAGTGGGGCGAAGATTAGTTGAGACGCACGATAAAAGTGGAATTATGAAGGCGTTTGCAGTGTAAGTGATACGCATAACGCGATAATGCGTGTTGATATATGTTGCTACCTATTTGGGATCTGTAACTTCAGTGCTCTGGGTATTATTGTATACCGCCCACCCTTCTGCTTGCAGAGGTAACTATGAGCACTTTGTGAAAGCCAAGACGGAGAAGATGAAGAATCAGCAACGGGAGTATGAAGCTCAGGTAAGTGCCAACAGGACTCTGCTTCGTGTCAGTTTTGTTACAGGGTCACTTGACGACCTCGGCTGGCTGGTCAAAAGAACGGCAGGATCTCAGCACCTGTGGCTTGTGTTTTATCTCCTCGATCTCACAACCCTGGCTGCCGTGTCGTTGAGTTCGTTTCGTCGCCGATGCTTGTCTCCCGGGTGGTTCAGCGTGTCGCTCTGTAGCGCGCGCCTGTATTCCGCAACCCTCCGACGGCTGAATGCGTGCTGCCAACGGGCACTACCGCTTACGCGTCAGCTGAGACGCAGTCTTAGGCGAGTCAGGGACTGATGCCCGGCCTGGCCCTGTCCGAAATGTTCGTGTCTTCATGGTTGTGCTTGTCTGGATCTCTTCAGATGGCGTTTAGGGCACACGCCCAGGAGTTCATCGACAAGTTCAGATATAATGCCAAGAGAGCGTCGCTGGTCCAGAGCAAGATCAAGATGCTGGAAAAGCTGTAAGTGACCATGTCTTCCATAGGATGAGGTGGAGTAAGCGCAGCATTCATTGAACTCACCAAGCTGTGCGGTCGAACGGCTGCGTGTTGTAGCATGCCGAACGACCGCGGCAGTGGGAGTCCGACCGCGGCGCGGAGTGTGTACGCTGCCGCTCCGACCGTGTGCCGGTGTCGTGCGCGGCGGTTGTGCTCCGCCATCGGAGTGTGTACGCTGCCGCTCCGACCGTGTGTCGGTGTGTCGCGCGCGGCGGTTGTGCTCTGCCATCGGAGTGTGTACCTGCCGCCGGCCGTGTGTCGGTGTCGTGCGCGGCGGTTGTGCTCGCCATCGGAGGAGTGTGTACCCTGCCGCTCCGACCGTGTGTCGGTGTCGTGCGCGGCGGTTGTGCTCTGCCATCGGAGTGTGTACGCTGCCGCTCCGACCGTGTGTCGGTGTCGTGCGCGGCGGTTTGTAGTCTGCCATCGGAGTGTTACCCTGCCGCTCCGGCCGTGTGTCGGTGTCGTGCGCGGCGGTTGTGCTCCGCCATCGGAGTGTGTACCCTGCCGCTCCGACCGTGTCGGTTGTCGTGCGCGGCGGTTGTAGTCTGCCATCGGAGTGAGTGTGTACGCTGCCGCTCCGACCGTGTGTCGGTGTCGTGCGCGGCGGTTGTAGTCTGCCATCGGAGTGTACGCTGCCGCTCCGACCGTGTGTCGGTGTCGTGCGCGGCGGTTGTGCTCCGCCATCGGAGTGTGTGCGCTGCCACTCCGACCGTGTGTCGGTGTCGTGCGCGGCGGTTGTGCTCTGCCATCGGAGTGTGTACGCTGCCGCTCCGACCGTGTGTCGGTGTCGTGCGCGGCGGTTGTGCTCTGCCATCGGAGTGTGTACACTGCCGCTCCGGCCGTGTGTCGGTGTCGTGCGCGGCGGTTGTGCTCCGCCATCGGAGTGTGTACGCTGCCACTCCGACCGTGTGTCGGTGTCGTGCGCGGCGGTTGTGCTCTTCCATCGGAGTGTGTACGCTGCCGCTCCGGCCGTGTGTCGGTGTCGTGCGCGGCGGTTGTGCTCTACCATCGGAGTGGTAGCTGTCATTCCCGTCTGTTATCCGTACGCCGTCCACCGCTGTCACGGCCATCTCCGCCGTCCGCCTGTGTACCTCCACCGTTCGCTGTGTGACCCGCTCCCAGTCCTCCGGGGGTGATCACCGTTCGCCTGGTGCCTCCTCAGTCCGGTGCTGGTGCCGATCGTGCCGGAGGGGGAGGTGGTGCTCAAGTTCCCGCCAACCGAGCCGCTAAACCCGCCCGTGCTGCAGCTGGACGAGGTCGACTTCCGCTACCCCACTTCCGACCGCTACATCTTCCGCAAGGTCGACCTCAGTACCAGCATGGAGTCACGCATCTGCATTGTGAGTGAGGCTGCTGGTGTGGCGGGTACCAGGGGAGCACGGCTCCCTCTTTCCGATCTCCGCTCACTTGCCCCCTCCCGACGGCTTGAGGGCCTCGCTGGCGGGCTCTGTTGGCGGCCGATAAGTGACCAGTTGCTCCGTCCGCCGCCAGGTGGGAGAGAACGGCGCCGGCAAGACGACGCTGCTGAAGATCCTGATGGACGACCTGTCGCCGGTGGCTGGCATGCGGCACGCGCACCGCAACCTCAAGATCGCGTTCTTCTCGCAGCACCACGTGGACCAGCTAGACATGACCGTGCACTCGATCCAGCTGCTGGCCAAACGGTTCCCAGGTGAGCACCACAGAGCGCGGGGATATGTGAGCAGGCACTGCTGTATGGTCTTGTCCAGACACACAGGTGGACAGAACGCACGGGAAGTGAATGGTCGAAACACGGTTGTTTGAGGCAGGAGTGCTAGCACACGAATGAACATACAAGGATAACAACGTAAATGAGCATGCTATTGCCTTGCTGGCGTGTAGTCTCGGATATGTACCGTGGAACATGAGAGTGTTGCGGACATTAAGGTCGGATGACAAGCCAACAGCAGTGATGTAGGCTAGCAGTCTGTGTTTCATTTTCTGCTGACGCCGCGTGGCGGGCGAGTGACAGTTTTTTTTTCTTTTGGGACGATTTTTATTCTATTTTACTTACATCCTTGCGTGGACGTGGACACCGCATGATGCAGCCATATATTAATGAATGCCACAGGCTTCTGAGATAAATCCAAATACGTTGCTCTGTATCGTATAATGCAACAAGCGGATTAAGGGTTGTGGCGAGCGTGCAGGCCGGCAGCTGTGGCTGCCGCTGGGGGTGCTGAGCGCTGATCGGGGCCTGGCCGGCAGGTCGGCCGGTGGAGGAGTACCGCCAGCAGCTGGGCAGCTTCGGCGTGTCCGGGGACCTGGCCACGCAGCAGGTGCGGCTCGACCGGCCCCGCCGCCGACTCCGGCCGGAGACGGCTCGGAGGCGCCGGCGCATCGCCGCTGCGGCGGCCGGCCGTGTCGTCTATCGCTCGCGGGCCAACGGCGTGGCAGCTGAGACATCTGTCGGGAGTGGGATTAACTATTGCCTGCGGTCGCCGCCACTTGGATGACGGCTCATGGTGTCAGCGGTTGGTGTGTCGGCGGAAACGGAACTGGGGGCGATGTTCAGATTTGTCTCTGTCGAGAGTTGCGCTTGTTACCTGCCAAACGTCGTGTGCTACACTCTCGAGCCATATGACAACCAATGTGGGAGAACACAGTGTGAGTGTATCTCGACAGTGGTTTGCGTCTTTAAACACTTTTTCGATGTATCTACGCGTGTCTCGCTGGTGGGTTTGGCAATGCTAATCCATCGCACTTTGCAGTCATGTGATGCATCATTTTTCCCTTGAATACTACGCTTTATACTGCGCTTCATCTGACCTGCGAAACTTTTCCAGCGATCCACAGCGATTACACCAGGGGTTGCTGATGGTATGGTGTTGGTTCCCTCGTGTTCGCCGGACCCACGCTGACCGTGACCGCTCTGGCCGCCAGGTGGGCAGTCTCTCCGGGGGTCAGAAGTCGCGCGTGGCTTTTGCCGCGCTCTGCATGGCGCGACCCAACTTCTTCATACTGGACGAGCCGACCAACCACCTGGACATCGAGACGATCGAGGCGCTCGGACACGCCATCAACCGCTTCAACGTGAGTTTGTCGCCGGTCCCACTGAGTACGGGACGCTGGAGCGGGCGGGCAGGCCGTGTCGCCGAGAGAGCCGCGGCGCTGGAGCGCTGCTGCGGCGTGGCGCTCGAAGAAGCCGGGCGCGGCGGTGTTCAGCTGGCTCAGTGTTGTTGGCCGCTTAGCTCTCATGTGATGACGATGATGTAGGGTTATAGTGATGCCCGCTGGGCTCTTTGCTGATCACCAGAGTAAGGTCTTTTCGGGCGGTGAGCAGGGATCCGGTATATGGTCTGTTACTTATCCCGTACAGCATAAAGACGGACATCCTTGTTCCCAGCTTGTGGTAAATGGAGCAATGACCCGTGCTATCCTCCAGCGCGTGTCCAGGGACCCCAGTAGCATGGCCTGATGCGCGCCGGCCGTGCGCCCTGTCTGTGGCGGCGGCTGGCTGGCCCCGTGCTGCCGCTCTGACGCGCCGTCGCGCCCGCAGGGTGGCGTGATCCTCGTCTCTCACGACGAGCGCCTCATCCGCATGGTGTGCCGCGAGCTCTGGGTCTGCGCGGACGGCACCGTCAAGGCGCTGGAGGGCGGCTTCGACGAGTACAAGACGATCGTGCGGCGCGAGATCGAGGCGGCCAACGCCGGCTGATGCCGGCCCCCATCTAGGCCCGATCTAATGGAATTGGAGGACGGCGCGGGTCCGACCGGCGCGCGCGCGGAGGCTTCAAGGCAGGGGCCGGAGAGCGGGCGGATTGGGAGGACGGTGTGGGGGTGATGTGCCTCTGCAGTGGCGACGGGCGATGCGGGCCACGCGACCAATGCTCTGTTTAGCTTTGTTGAAAATGTGCTTCTCACGCTAGCTGGAGGCTTTGTCAACAGCCCTTGATACGCTGAACATGTATCAAACCGAATTTGCTAATACAACACACGGTCTGCACGCTGGTGTCTTCCCTCGTCCGCGTTGGAGTCGGACGAGGTTTTAGTGCAGTGTGAGGAAAGACAAAGCTGCTTCGAACATTACCCCCTCGACAACATCTCCATGCACGTGCAGAGGTGTTTGTCTGGCTACGGAATCTCTCTGGTGTATCATCTCACCACGCCAGGACCTCATCTTATGAACACGCGATGTTTGACTGGACTCGGCTCTGGACTCTGACTCGAAACTCTGCTCGGCGAGGGAAGACACGTAAGGTAACTGGAAAGACGAGCGAGGCGTGGAAGGCATGAAACGCCCCGCTCGCTACCCTCCTTCTGACAGCGCCCGGCCGTAACGTCGGGTTTCGTCAGAGCTGCGGTTAGAACCCCACTTGGTGAATCATGAGACGGTTCGGGACTTACAGTCGTACGCGGGCAGGCGTCGGGTTATGTTGCCGGCCGCCCCATCACACCTGTTATGTCTTACTATGCATAACAGCTTATCACACAAGATGTGTGGCTCCAGTGGACCCGCTGGTATAACGTTCAGTTGTGGAATCTGTTGGCGTGTAACTGGTTTCTTCATAGCTTTAAGTTAGTTGTAAGCCGATTTATTTCATTTTCGAACAAGCCTCTCAGGTATCATGGCACATGCGAGCACAGAATGATCCGTAAATATAAAGCTATCTTCAGCGCAGTGTGACCATGTTGGAAGTAAATGACCAATGACGTCTTGTGGACAAGATATAAATTGCCCCCTTTGAAAGGCTTTGGTCGTGTCCATTTTCCCCTCCCTGATTTGTAAGAATTGCACAAACTGCTGTTTTGTCTCTTAACTGCAAGTGAACCCATCCATATAATTCAGCAGTCCGTCCTTTTCAAACACCAGTCTGTCCTGACCTCACGTCGATAAAACGGTCTGTCCTAACCAAATGTCGGTACAACCAATTTGTCCTGATGTCTACACGATGATCTGTGCTGACCTGGCGTCGGTACAACCGCTCTGTCCTGACCGTATGGCAGTACACCGATCTGTCCCGACCTTATGTTGGCACACCGATCGATCCTCACTTGGCGTCAGTACACCGATCTGCTTTGACCTCACGTCGGTATACCGATCTGTCCTGACCTGACGTCGGTACACCGATCTGTCCTGACCTGACGCCCGGTGTGTCGTGTTCTGTTCTCAGCGCCTGCCTCGGCACGTTACTACTATACCGGCCTACTTCTACGGTCTATTTTCGCCTATCAAAGTTTGTTCAATTTTTGGATAATTCCTAGAACAGACATTCGGCATTCTCGACTTGTTAATTGTTATCCAGCTTGATCCTTTGTTCCACCTTCTGAACCACCTTCTTAGAAAAGAGATATAAGGAGACAAACAAAAATGCGCCTCTGTCTGTGATAGATAATATGAAATTTAAGATGGCGCGTTGATTTCACGCGTGCTTGCGTTTAAGACCTTCTCTTCATTGGACTCATTGATGGAATGATACTACACATACTACACATAATGATACACAACTACACATAAGGATCAATTCTGGCAACCGTGTTCAACTACAGCTTCCGCTGCCGTTTTCTTTCGGGTTAAGTCGCGGTCTGTTATATGCATAGGGGTAATTCTACTTCAGATGAGAAATCAGACAGCGCTTTAGGTGACAGGTCGCTGTTGGCGCATGTTGTCGACTGCGCCGAAATTGCTCTGAATGAGAGAGAATGCGCCCTGTTTGGTTTGTTTGGGAGTTTGGAGAGATTTGCCATCACATCGGAAATTTCCCAGTCGTGTGATGAGTTAAATTTTAGCCCGCGTATTGGTTAGTTTTAGAGGTTTCCATGCTACATCCCGATTCACCATCTTTGAGTGTAGACACGTGAGTGACTCATGTTGTTGCGTTTCCAGCGTCGATTGTGAGTAGTCTAGTTCACTACGTAAATGCAGTTATGATTTCTTAACTAGCGGTATAACCCGCTCAAGAATTCCATTAATTATTCATACTGCATGCATCTAGGCAGGACAAATCACCGATCTGACCTTGGCTGTGTTGTGTATTTCCGCGAGCAGCTACGGCGGATCCGTGGCATATAGCATAAGTGAGCGTACTGCCAGCCATGAGCTCGTCATTCGATGTGGGTTTGTGGTCACATTACATGACTATATTGTGCTGCATGGTCTGATCACATAAGCGGTCATAATACCAACTTCGGGACCGCTGCGCCAACCGGTCGAGTTGATCCATTTCCCCGATCGCATCCAGTTTAGGATTCGCCTGTTATCCACGCTCCCGCCCGGCCCGTGTCGGCCGCTTACTCCCGGTTTGATCCATATCCCCGCAGCATTCAGGTGAACACATGCGTTTCGATATGACCGTTTAATTTATGCGATGGTCTTCGGTGATGGTCGAAGATATGCATGCCGATATCTCCTGGAACTGGTGTGACGTCATTGACAGGTCTCCAGTAATTCGTCATGCACGATGTCTGCGGTTGGGTAACTACCTGCAACTGCGTCATTACTGTGCGGTAGACATGGCTTCGTCGCAAGGCAATGCCGGTTACGCTGCCGTTGGGCGTAACAGAACCAGTGGCGTGAGTGTGTGTGTGTGGGGGGGGGGGGGGGATATGGAGCAATAACAGGACGACGTGCAAGAAGCAAACGTTGAGAGTCGGATGCCTCTAGAGCATAGCTACCGAACAAACGGTGCTGTGTAATTATCCGGTGAAACATTTCATTCAGTGAGATGTGTGATCTAGTTAACTGTACCAACTAGTGAAAAGATGACCTAGTAGATTATTTAGTCTGGGAAATATCAAAGGGAAAGTCGTTTTAGTCCAACTGAATACTGTGTTAGTTGATTTTACAATCGTGCAATAGTCTAGTTCGTGCTCAGCGCTGTTTCCCGTCTAATAGCTAAGGAGAGCGCTGCACTCGAAAAATGACGCGTCCAAGAAACTGCCCGGAATTTCCCGCCCGCTACCGACTCTGACAGCGCCTGGTCGTAACGTTGCTGTTTCTCAGAGCTGGGTGCAGAGCCCAGCTGGTGAATCATTGGTCGGTTTGGGGCATGTGACAGTCACATGCCGGAATGCGTACGGTGCTGTTGTCAAGTAGCCCACCTCAGCCGCGTGTATCTTGCTGTGCACAACAGCTCATCACACAACACGTGTGACCACGCCAAACCGTCTGGTACTACGTCCAATTCTCAAATTGGACTGCGGGTATTATTTTGTCGTGGCTTTTAAAGAAGATGTGTGACATTTGGAGAGGCATCAGATATAAGAAATGGGCTCAGTTATCACTACTGGTGTACGTCAAGTGGGAAAACTGCTTCAGGCATTGCGGTTCCTCTGTTTAGTAAATATGCTCGTCAATGCTTTAATGTCTGATACCTCTTTGTGTAATGCATAATATTGGCTAAGAGCCAACTGTCGGCCGCTTTATATGCAAATGACGTTCACAAATGACAGAAATGAAAGGCACGACAGTTTATCTCTTTAGCCTCGGTCGCCGCACGGCTAATGGCATGACAAGATTTCAATGACGTTATCATGATATCATGAATGCCTGGGTGACCTTAAAATATTCTCCCGAAAACAGTGTGCACGTCCTCGTCCACATCCGACGTAAGTCCTCGCGGTCGTTGAGTTAAGAAACTAGAAGGACAGGTCTTGAGATGGGCGGCATTGTGAACCACACCAAATGATCTTGAAGATGGCTCTTTCAGTTCAAAACCACGTACAAATGTGGAACACTATTTTTACGTTAGTCACGAACTGAATATTGATTGTTTTCGAACAAGATTTCAGGTATTTCGGGGGCATGCAAGCCTTACGATCATTCATAGGATTAACTTTGTCCTCAGTGCACTGTCACTATGTTGGTGCACGTTGATAAGATAATCAATGATATCTTTTAAGCCCTACGTAAGTCCTACACTGTCGAAGGCTTTCGTTCGTGCACATGTTGCACTCCATGATTTGTAAGAATCATGCAAGCGGTATTTTAGCCTGTGAAATGTAAGCGTATCCTTCCTTAGAACCTGTTAGCCCGTCCTTGTTGGCGCCTTACAAAGTCCAAGCTAAAAGTTGCTCACACCGAGTGAGCACAAAAATGCCTCAAAGAGAAGTTTCCGTTGACAGTTATCGCTACAAAACCACGCATCGTTTGTGTTCCACTCGGAGCCAGTATTGTTACCAGTGGCTGGCTGCATTTTCATGGACAGCGAACAACCTTCTGATTATCAAAACGGTGTATCACAGCAACGCTCCTCTTTCCTGTGCTTGTTTGTGAAATTTGAAGCGTTTTCAGGGAGAGGCTCGCGTAAGTTTGCCTTTACGAAAGACGATAGCATTGTTGCAATGCCAACAGAGCGCCAGAAATGCAACTGACTGTTTATTGTGGTGCCGTGTCGTGGCTGGATGCATCCGAGATTGCATCTCCCGAGCCGAACTTCCCCGTCGGCTTTTGTCTCCGCATCGGGTGGGGGACCCCAGGCCCCGGCTTGTCAAGTATGACGGCACCTAGCGCCTTCCAGGTATATACGGCGTGTCGGCGGCGCCGGCTGACCGCGGAGCCGTACTTCCCGACTGGGTGTCGCCGGCGGCCGCCGCAGCGGCTGAAGCGGCGCTCGTGACGACGTTGGCGGCGTACTCCGCCCGTATATAAGGCGCGGATGGCGGACAGCAGGCACCACTCTTTCTGCCGGTGTCATGTCGCTACTGCGGGCTCTTCTGCTGACGGTCGCCTGAGTCCGGCTCTGCTCGATGCGTTGGAACGACCTGGGCTGCAATCTCAAAATGTAGATGACGTGGACCCAGATGCTATTTCCAACGGTGACGAGGTGTTCCCT